ACGCCCCTCTCTGCCCCTCTCCCATATATTTTTTCTTAATTGCGTTTTCAAAATAAAACTGTGCCCTAAAATTTACCCCTTTAAAGCGTACAATCAGTACTTTTGGGGACAGTGACAGAGTTGTGCAGTCTTGTTCCGGAACATTTTTATCACCCCAAATAGAGACCCAATACCCCTTAGGTGTCACTCCTCACCTCCCCCCACTCCTCACCCCCACCTCCAACCCTAGGCAGCCACGGATCTGTTTTCTGTCTCTAGATTTGCCTGTTCTGGACATTTCATATAAATGGAATCATACGCTATGTGGCCTTTTGTGTCTGCCTCCTTTCATTTAGCACAATGTTTTCAAGGTTTATCCATGTAGTAGCCTGTGCCCGTATTTCTCTCCTTTTTATGCCTGAATTCTCCCCTGAGTCCCACACTGCAGAATCTACGTGTGACCTACAGGTGCCTGTGGGCGGGTGGAGGAGCAGGAGGAGGTTAATTACATAATATTTAATTATATAATTATAGCTGGGCTCTTTATTCTGAGGAGGCGAACTGAATGATATACATATGCTGTCTGGTGGTCACATCTAAGAGTGCACTAAATGAGAGTTCTGGAACCCTTTCTGGCACAGATCAGATGCTTTTGTATTCAGCGCCTGGACCCTCAAACCATGACTGGCAACACCATGGTTGGCTGAGAAGGGTACATGTCGAGTCTCTGGTGGTAACATTTGCCCCTTGGTGCTTCTGGGCTTTGCCAGCTTTCAGGCAAGGATCCCTCTGCCTTCCAAGGGGCAGCTGCTATGCTTCCCCACCCCCCACCCATCCTCCTCCTTATTCGGCAGGAGTCACCGGGCTGCCCTCTCCTCCAGGATGCCCTCCCGGAGCTCCCCACAGACATCCTACTGCAACCATCCGTGTCACAGCTGAAAACTCCGACCCCACGTTCAGATCCCACACAGACACTTGTGGCTTCTTCATTTCTCTGTTGCTGTTCCCAACTTTCCCATCAACCCCCCGCGCTCCTGGTAGCGTGGGATGAATGTAAACTTGGCAACAAGAAGTCTCGCCCTTCCAGGTTTTATTTTAGAACGGTTTTTCCAGTATGACTCCTGGCTGGCACGGGTTTCCTCCTCTGCTCCCTGCTTGTCAAGTTGCCAGAGGTGAGGTCTGTTCAATAAATTGCCCGATGGTTCCTGGCGATGGTGGAGACCCCTTGCCGGCTCTGTTGGGCAGTGCATCCAATTGGAGCCATCGTCGCCCCATTCCACTGGCGCGAGGCAGCCATGGCCCGTCACCCTCCCTCCCGGCAGTGGCCCCCATCCACACCCCAAGCTGTCATGTGGCTCCCTTCATCCCTGTGGCTGGCCTCACCGTGGGCTGTCCGGATGACCTCTTCTCCTTTATTATCCAACACGTTCTCTGTCCTCAGGGAACCTTGATTCCCACTGTGCCAACCGCAGCATTACAGGAAAGGGCATGTGCCAGGGACCGGGCAGGGGAGGGGGATTTTCACCCTCCTTTCTCTCCCTGGACTGCTCTGTCTTATCGCGCCTACCGACAGGGACATGCCAGGTGGACTTCTCTCAGCCCCCCACCCCAGTCTCAGCATTCCACCATCCCCCAATCCTAACATCCCTTACCTGTTTGTTTCCAACGCCCGGTCTTCCGGCTCTGCCTTTCCCTCCCCGGTGTCCCCCTGCAGGAACGGGAAGGAATGGGTTTTAGTCCCCTTTCTTGCCGGGCACTGGGAACCTCACGCCTCTCTGTCGCCTTGGCCTTCTTGAGGTGTCACTCACCTTCTTCCCCAAGTGGCATTGGGCCCCAGCGTTGAAGGCGGAGGCTCTCAGACAGGCCTGGTGGGGTGGAGAGGGCCTATCACTCAGGTGTTCAAAACAGAACATCCTCCCCAAGTGCGCAGCTACGGCAGTGGCCACGGTTACTAGGTTATTCTGGAAACACAGCCAGGCGCGCGTGATGTCCACAGGCCATCTTTCTGCAGGTGGGGCATTGTCAGTTCAAAGCCACTCACCCTGAGTGGGCCTCAGCTGCCGGGCGGCCACACTGCCCTCCTTCCTCCCGCGTCTGCCCGCCCACTCTTGACGCGATCTCGCTTCTCCTCGGGCCCCGCCACCTCCCCCTCTGTCCCCACTCTCAGGCTTGATTCCTACCTCCTACCTCCCTGGGTAAATGGAACAGCCTGAGAGAACTTCCTTCCGGGGCTCTGCCACCACAGCCACCCCCTTCTCTGCACCCGGGCCCACACGCCCTTCCCACTGGGACCTAGGTGCTCCCGGCCAAGGAGAGCCGTCCCCTGGGTTCGGCGACCCCGCCCAGCGGGGCTCCTTCTCTCCCATGTCATCAGTTTTCCTTCTCTCCAGCATCATTCCCATTTTTATATAACATGTTGTAAAAGAACAACCACCCTTCTCTTCCCTTCTCGTTCCCTCCAGCTGCCGCCCCCTTGTCTCTGCACCCCCTCAACAGTCCCCCTGAGAAGCCTGTTTTGGGTCCCCATCCCTCCCTCCCCTCCTGTCTTGGGCCCAACACCCCATCGGGCTCTGGCACCCACCTCTCCCGATCAGCCCACCCTGCTTTGACCAAAGTCCCAGTGATCTCCCTGTAGCTACACTCACACACACACACACACACACACACACACACACACACGGTGGCCCTTCAGTCCTCCCTCGTCTTGCCTGACCCTTGACAAGTCCCTCCCTTGTCCCCTTGGCCTGCTTTCTTCACAGGCTGTCTGCTCCACTCTCCCTCGGCTCTCCTCTGGTGTCTTCTGTTCAGTCTCCCTGGCTGGTTGTCCCTTTGCTGCCTGGCTCAGTCCTCGGGTCCCTTCTCTGTCTACACTCACCCCCTTGTGGTCTAATCCAGCCGCTGGGCTGTAAGGGCTGCCTCTCAGCTGAGGACTGTCACATTTACATCTCTGGCCTTGGCCCCAAGCATTTCCTCCCACGCTGACCTTGGTGCTTTCCTCTGCAAACCTGCCAGGTTCAAAGCCCGACTCCGGATTTAGTCTGCTTGTCTCAGGTTGGTTCCCAGACATTGATCCTGAGGCAAGAAGTGAAACGGGGGCCCCTGGGTGGCTCAGTCGGTTGAGCGTCCGACTTTGACTCGGGTCATGATCTTGCAGTTCGTGGGTTCGAGCCCCATGTGGGGCCTCTGCACTGATGGTATGGAGCCTGCTTGGGATTCTGTCTTTCCCTCCCTCTCTGCCCCTCCCTGGCTCATGCTCTGTCTTTCTCGCTCTAAAAAAAAAGAGAGAGAGAAAAAAGAAATGTAAGTGGTTTGGGGGGGTTGGGTGGTGATCCCTGTGGGAGTTGGGAATGCAGAGAGAGAGGAGGTCAATAAAAAAAGCCAATAAAGCAAATTACCTCTGGGGGGCCAGTGAGGTGCAACCCCCTGGGGGAGCGCTGAGAGCCGACCCCACCAAGGTGCAGGGCGCAAGGTCATTGGTGGGGGGCTGCTCTGGGGGTGTTGAGCTGGAACTCCTGGCCCGTCCTTCCTGCAGGCAGAGCCGGGAGCCCCAGGCAGTGTCTCCATGCTGCCCCCCAAAACCTTCCTGGCTGCATGAACGAAGGCAGAGGCGGGCCCGATGCGGTCTGCTGCCCTGCAACCGGTCCCTCTTTGGTCCTCCCCACCTTAGGACACGGCAGCTCCACTCATCCTTCCAAGGATCAGGCCAGAAGCCTTGGGGCAGCCTGATACCACCCTCCCACCCTCGTCCACACCCCCAGCAAGTCTGCTTGGCTCCTCCTCCAACCTGCCCTGGGAACCCGGCTTCTCACTGGTCTGCGCCCTATCCCCTCCCCCAGCCCCTTGCTGGTGCCCCTGCCTCCACTCCTGCCTCCCACCCACCCCGTTTACTCCCAGCACAGCAGCTGTGAGAGGGAGCCATTGAAAACCTGTCAGACCCTGTCTCTGCTCTGCTCAAGACCCTCCGGTGGCCCTCCGCTTTTCAAGGTCAGAGCAGTGTTGACACCAGCCCGCAAGGCCCTTGGCGATCTGCCCCCTCCCTTGGTGACCCCATCCTGTATCACATCTCCCTCACTCTACTCCAGCCACAACACCTTCTCACTGTTCCTTGAACTTATCACGCACATTCCTACCTTAGGATCTTTGCACCTGCTCTCTCCTTTGCTGGAATGCCCTTCCCCCAGGTACCTGGGTAGGCTAGTCCTCATTTATTGCAGCTCACGTTTACCTTCTTTTTTTTATAAAAAATTTTTTTGGTGTTTATTCAATTTTTGAGAGAGAGAGAGAGAGCGCGCGTGCACGCAAGTTGGGGAGGGGCAGAGAGAAAGGGAGACAGAATCCGAAGCAGGCTCCAGGCTCTGAGCTGTCAGCACAGAGCCCGACGCGGTGCTCGAACCCACGAACCGCGAGATCATAACCTGAGTGGGATGCTTAACTGACTGAGCCACCCAAGTGTCCCATGTTACCTTCTTAAAGGGCCATTCCTGACCTGCTTGTAGAAAATGGCATCGCCTACTCCTATCCCCAGCTCTGATTACCTCCCCCTCTGATTTTTCCCCCATCACTCTCCTTTTCTTTTTTCTTTTCTCTTTTCTTTTCTTCTTCTTCTTCTTCTTCTTCTTCTTCTTCTTCTTCTTCTTCTTGTTAATTCACTCTCTATCTCCAGGAGAAGGTGAGTTCCCGACTCAGAAAGCCCCACCTGTAGTTTCTGTCACCCGTTCTGGATGGGGTCATGAGTGAGCTTGACTGGAATAAGCCATGCAGGAGACAGGAAGCACCTGTCAAATGTGCCACCAGGTGACGCCAGATAGACTTGTTGACATTCTGTTGATCACCCACCCACGGCGGACTTAGTGTGACCAAACCATCCCCTGGTGAGAAGGACCGTGGGATGCCTTGGTGCCAGCCGCGCAGCCGTGGACAGGTGACCACCTCTTCAGCCTCAGCTGCCCTACCTGTAAGCCAGGTTAACAATAGACCTACCTCCAGGCAGTAGGGGGAGGACAGATGGAATGAGGCCCAGCATGGCGCCCAGCATGTATGTAGTCAGTATTCAGGGGATGTCTCCAGGTAATTCGGCACAGCACTATGGGACCCTTTCCACATGCCAGCCCCTCCCCTCCACACCAGGGAACCCGCCAGACCTGTATTTGCATCCTGCCTGCATTCTTACACTGGGTGCCCTGAGCCAGTGCTGTGCCTCCTCGGGCCTCAGTCGTCCCATCTGCAAAGTGGGCCTAATAAGGTCACCCTCACAGGGTCCTGTGGGGAAGGGAGCACTCTTTAATGGTGACTTCGGGTGATCTTAATGTTTCCCATTTCTTCTAGTTTCCTTCTAGGACATCTTCCCTACTTTTGGAAAAAGGATGAGGTTTGTGGCCGCATGCTCCAAGATGTGTTTTTGGATTGGTGGGTCCTAATTGTCATTTGTTGCCCTTACTCCAGCCCAGGTCCCTCATGGGGCAGCCCCACCCCTTCCCCAGGCCAGCACACACACTCCCGCCTCCCCGGCCAGGTCACTCCCACCCCCGAAGTCCCTCCCCTGAGTGCAGAGGCAGAGGAGGCTGGTTCAGAGGGCAACCTCTGCCTTTGGCAGCTGTGTGACCTGAGACCAGACATCAGAAACTCTGAGCCTCAGTGTCCTTGTCTGTAAGCTGGGTGGGGGGTGTGACTCAGTAACAGTCCTTGTACGTGGTGGTGCTTCGCACTTTCCAAAGCATTTCAAAGACACGATATCGCTTGATTCCCAGCAAAATCTTTTGGGTCAAAGGAGGAGTGTAGCAACCCTATTTCATGGGTTTGAAAACTGAGACCCAGTGTGGGATGTGACTCGGCAGTGAGTCCGTGTTAAGCCCCTCCTGGGATGGGACACCCTGATCCTCCCGCTGGGTGGTGATGATATTCACATCTCTGGTCGTTGACAGCCTCCTTTGGGTCATTTTGGTTTCCAGGGCTAAGAAGTACGGACCCGTCGTGCGGGTCAACGTCTTCCACAAAACCTCAGTCATCGTCACGAGCCCCGAGTCGGTCAAGGTAGGAAGCAGAGCAGTTTCTATGGGGAGAGCCCTTCCCTTCCCTTCCCTGGGTTGGGGGCACAAAACTCGACCCCAGAGGCTGTAAGAGAAATGTCTCAGAGTCACCAGCACTCGGGCTCATTTCCCAAGGATCCAAAAGTCAGTGGCATCTTTCTCTCTGAACACCCACCATTTGGGAGTTTTGCCCCAGTGATGTGCACACGTTTAGCTAGCTCACCCCTCTTAGCCTTGGTTCCTTCATCTTCGAGGTGGGATCATAACCCCTCTGTCTCAGGGCTACCATGAGATTTCAATATCAATTGATTCATTTAACAAATGTTTATATCAACACATATTTATTTAACAAGCAAAGGGGCAAAAGATACTTAAACATGTACTTCTTTACTTCCCGATTATGAACCCATTTAATCCTCACGGGGGTAGAGACTGTTATCAGTCCCCATTTTAGAGATCAGAAAACTGAGACGGTCAGCACTGATTGGTCTGGACTACGTGGAGGGCGGTGCCTGCGATCTGGGGACTAAGAATGGCCCCCAGATCGTTTACCTTGGACTTGGCTGACGTGGGCTCAAGTCTAGGCTCTGTCACCGCTCTGGGCCTCAGTTTCCTCATGTGTAAGATAGGGATGATGCCTCTTACAGGTGGCAAAATAGCACGTTTGAGCCATCTAGCCCATGCCTGGCACACAGCAGTTGCTCAATAAATGATGGTGCTCTTTTCCTCACAGTGGGTACTCAGCAGAGTGAGCCTTGGCATGACAGGGAGAAGATGCAGCTTAGGGTCCAGATCAGGAGAAAAGCCGAACAACCATGGTGTCTCTAAAAGGATGTAACAAATACTTTTTTTGTAAAGCTTAATTTTAAGTGTAGACACAGTTTAAGATTTTTAGGGGCACCTGGGTCTCTTAGTCGATTAAGCATCTGACTTGTGAGGTCACAATCTCACGGTTTGTGGGTTCGAGCCCCACGTCGGGCTCTGTGCTGACAGCTCGGAGCCTGGAGCCTGTTTTGGATTCTGTGGCTCCCTCTCTCTCTGTCCCTCTCCTGCTCTCTCTCTCTCTCTCTCTCCAAAATAATAAATAAACATTAAAAAAATTTTTTTTAAGATTTTTAAAGCATGCTACCAAAAGCCATACACAAAGACCTTCATGATGCTCAATGAGAAAAGTTGAACAATATATATTAATATGATGCATTGCATGGATTAATTTTCAAGTGTTAAACCAACCTTGCATTCCAGCTCTCATGATACAATTTGCTCATCTTCTAAGAGTTTTTGTTTTTATACTTGTTTGGGGATCAGATTAATAGGCTTCACAAGATGAGTTGGGAAATGTCCCCTCTCCTCTATTTTCTGAAGGAGTTTCTATGGGGTGGTGTTATTCCTTCCTTTAATGTTTGATAGGATTCACCAGTGAAGCCATCTGGGCCTGGCATTTTCTCTGATGGAAGTGCTTTTTGTTTGTTTTAATTACTCAATTTATTTAATTGATTTATGGCCATTCAGAGTTGCTATTTTTCTTCGGTTTGGTAATTTATGTCTTTATTTATTTATTTATTTATTTATTTATTTATTTATTTAGAGACAGAGACAGCTCAAGTTGGGGAGGGACAGAGAGAGAGGGAAAGAGAGAGAATCCCAGACAGGTTCTGTGATTCAGTGCAGAGCCAGATGAGGGGCTTAAACCCACAAAGCTGCGAGATCATGGCCTGAGCTGAACCCATCCAGGCACCCCTGTAATTTGTGTCTTTCAAGGAATTTGCCCATTTCATCTAATTAAAATTCTTGGTATCAAGTTGTCCATAATATTTATTGATTTCCTTTTTCATGTCTCCTGGATCTGTGGTGATATCCCTTCTTTCATTCCTACAAATAATTTGGGCTTTCTTTTATTTTCTTAATCAAGCTAGCAAAAGGTTTATCAATTTTATTTATCTTTTCAAAGAACCAGCTTTTGGGTTTATTGCAATTCTCCATTGTTTGTCCATTTTCTACTTTATTGATTTCTGTTCTTTATTATTTCCTTCCTCTATTCGTTTAGGGTTTAATTTATCCTTGTTCAAATTTTTAAGGTGGGAGTTTAGAAAATTGATTTTAGACCTGTTTCTTTTCTAATATAAGCATTTAAATCTATACATTTCCTTGTAAATACTACTTTAGGGACAAATGTACCACACATTTCAATATGTCGTGCTTCTTTTTTCATTCAGTTCAAAATATTTTCTAACTTCCCTTGTGATTTCTTCTTTGAATCAGGGATTATTTATATGCATATTGTTCACTTTCTAAATATTATGATATTTACAAATATATTTCTGTTATTGATTTCTAATTTTATTCTGTAGGGGCAGATGAAATACTTTTCATCATTTCAAAATGATGAAAAAAATGATGAAAAATGAAAAAAATGAAGATGAAATACTTTTCATCATTTCAAAATGATGAAAAAAAATGATGAAAAATGATGAAAAAAAATTGAAGCTTGTTTGATGACCTAGCACAAGGTCTATCTTGGTGAATGTCCATGAGTACTTCAAAAGAATGAATATTCTGTAATTGTTGAATGGAATATTTCAGAAATGTCAACTAGATCAAGTTGGCTGATAGTGTTATTCGAATCTTTTAAGTCCTCACTAATTTTCTGCATACTTGTTCTAGCAATTATTCTGAGAGGAATGTCAAACTCTCCAACCACAATCATGGGTTTTTCTATTTCTACTTTAGGTTGTACCGATTTTGCTTTATGTATTTTGAAGTTCTGTTATTAGGTGTATACACATTTAGGATTAATATGTCTTTGTGATGAATTGTGTGATTTATTTTTAGAAATGTCCCCTTTATCCTTGGTAATATTCCATTTCCTGAAGGATATTTTGTCTGGTGTTAATATAGCCACTCCAGCTATCTTCTGCTTAGTGTTGCTTGGTATATCTTTTTACCATCCTTTTACTTTTAACCTATCTGGGTTTTTATATTTAAAGTGGGTTTCCTATAGATAGCATATAGTCTGGTCTGGTTGCTTTATACTGTCTGACAATCTCTGCCTTTTAACTGGAGTGCTTAGGTCATTTACATTGAATGTAATTATTGATATGGTTGGGTTTAAATCTACCACATGGCTGTTTTTCCTCTGTCCTGTTGTTCGTTCCCCTCTCTGCCTTTCCTGCCTTCTTTTGGATTGAGTATGTTTTAGTATTCCACTTTATCTCCACTATTTGATTATTGGCTCTCTTTCTTTCTCTCTTAGTGGTTGTCCTAGGGTTTATAGTGTAATCTTTAACTTATATCAATCTACTATTTTATCTCTGTCTGCTTTTAAGGTTTTCTCTTTATCACTGGTTTCAGAAATTTGATTATGATCTGCCTTCATGTACTTTTTCTTGTTGTTAATTCTATGTAGGAGTCTTTGCACTTCCTGGATATGTGGGTTCCTTGACCACATTTGCAATACTTATAATAAATGTGTTAAAGTTCTTTTCTGCAAATTCCATCATCTCTATTATTTCTGAGCCTGGTTATAGGTAGATCTTTCTGCTCTTTGACGTGTCTAGTGATTTTATGTTGGCCCCTGGACATTGTGCATTGTACACTGTTGAGTTCTCAGTTTTGATTTATTCCTTTAAAGAGTGCTGGAATTCATTCTGGCAGATGGTAAAGTTATTTGTGTAGATCAGTCTGATCCTTTCCAGGTTTGCTTTGAGGCTTTTGTAGGGTTGATTTAGGGTTGGCTTTTACTCTAGAGCTAGTTAAGCCTCACTACCAAGGAGTGACTCTTTCTTCTGGGGGCCGCTAATAAAGGGCTTATGTCTGAAGTTTACCTCTGGCCAGTGGGAACTTAAACAGTTCTTGGCCTGTGTAAGCTCTGAGAACTCTTCAGCCTGTAGTTACTCGGTAATTCTCCTTGTCCCAAAAGTTGTTTTTAACTCAGCTTTGTGTCCATGGTGCATGTACACAGGCTGGTATTCATTCGAAGATGTAGGGGATCCCTATGCAGATTTCTGCACAGGAGCTCTTTCTCTCCATGGCTCCCTCCCCTCAGGTCCTCTGCCATACAAGTTCTAGCCTCCTCTTGTATGTCTGGACTCTGATCTGTCTCATCAAATTGGAAAGCCTACGGGGCTATATTTGAGTTTCATCTTTTAGTGCCTTTATCCTGAAATTGCAGAAAGCTAGAGTAATCTTTGGTCATAGGTCTCATATCTTTTTTTTTTTCCTTTTCCTTCTTTTAGGATTCACAATCCTGCACTTCCTGTTGCTCAGTGTCTGAAAACAGACATTTCATGCATTATGCCTATTTTTCTGATTACTTATGGCAGGAGGACAAGTCCCCAGCAGTTATCCCTTAGTGGGCAGAAGTGTGCTGCCAGTGTGGACAGCAGAGAAGGTGCTGGGGGTGCCCCCATGCACTCCTCACATCCCAGAGCCCAGCTCACTGGGCCTTCAAAGGATCCCCAGCCCCAGAGACAACAGGCATGGGGACCCTTGACTTTGGGGGCACCTGATTAGAGCCTGTGTTGAGGCTGCTGTGCCTCAGTGTGGGGACTCCTCACTTTAGGTTGGGAGGGTTGGTCCAGACCTTGGACAATTTAGGAATGTTTGAGAGGGACCTGGGAGGTGGGTCTTTACTGCCATGGGGATGGGGCCTGCAGGCATGGGTAGTGAGGAAAGTTCGTTTACAAATGACAGTGTTTGGGTGGGGGTGGGGTTCTCAGGATGTGGCTCATGCCCCAAGGTCAGCCATTTTGGGGGGTTCCTTTTAGCTAAAAGATTGATATTAGATCCCTGAGCTAAGCTCCCAGATACCAGAAGCCCCTGGATTCATGTACAATGGAGATACCATCTTCCTGCTTCCCAGTGCCCACAGGATGAAGCTCAGGGTGCCAGAAGGCAGGCCTCTGGGATCCAGCCCCCGCTCATGCCCATCCTTACCTCTCATTCTGCCTGAATGCAGCAAGTGGCCTGGGCTTCCCCTGGCTGGATCACAGCCTTCTCTTCCCTCTCTGCCATGGCAAATTGCTGGGATTCAAATCCTGTTTCCACCATTCACCATGTGTGTGACCTTGGGCTAGTTCTAAATCTCAGTTTCTCTGGGGCGCCTGGGTGGCGCAGTCGGTTAAGCGTCCGACTTCAGCCAGGTCACGATCTCGCGGTCCGTGAGTTCGAGCCCCGCGTCGGGCTCTGGGCTGATGGCTCGGAGCCCGGAGCCTGTTTCTGATTCTGTGTCTCCCTCTCTCTCTGCCCCTCCCCCGTTCATGCTCTGTCTCTCTCTGTCCCAAAAATAAATAAAAACGTTGAAATCTCAGTTTCTCCATCATATGTAAGATGAGCATAAACACAGCACCCACATCTTAGGATTGACCGAGCACTAAATGAGCTACAGGTGCTGTTGTGCACCTGACATTTACGGGGCACGTGCTGTGTGACAGGCACTTTTCTCAGCACTTTTCAAGTAGAACAAATTTACCCTTTGCAGCAACCTCCCCAGAATAACTTGCCTGTGGTCATGAAGTGAGTCCAGGGCAAAGCCAAGATGGTGAGCCCGGATCCAAATTCAAGCCAGCTGACTCCACGGCCTGAACTGTTAACCCCTGGGCTATGCTGGCTCAAGAGCCATCAGCTAATGTTATTATTGCTACCATCCGGCTTGTGGCGAGGCAAGTTGGTCCTTCCTCCAGGAAGCCTTCCTTGGCTTCCGTGGCTGGGTTGGCACTAACAGCCCCTGAACCTGTGCCAAGTGTGTCTCCTGTGTCCCAGAAGCCCTCCCTCCGGGCTTCTCCCCTTCCCTATTCTGGTTTCAGAGCAGCACCTGCATTTTCTTGTTCTCACTGCTTTAGAAGGTGGTGCGGTACAAGATCTGTGCATGGGCATGGAAGTGAGGACCCCCCACAATGCCACTCCAGCTGAGTGGCCACAGGAATATCACTTCACCCCTCTCTGCCCCACTTTCCTCACCCCCAAGCAAGATGCTATTGCTTGAAGACAGGACTTCTGGAAGGTTAGGTGGGATTGCACGGAATGAGGTGTTCACACCACAACTGGCACCCGGTCAGTGGTGATTGTTGGGGCGTGTTTCACAAGAGTCCAGAAAACTGCTGAATCCTTTGCTTCGTCTCATGGGTACATGAGCTCACGTTGGCTTTTTGGGGATGTTTAGAAGTTCCTGATGTCAACCAAGTACAACAAGGACTCCAAGATGTACCACGCAATCCAGACCGTGTTTGGCGAGAGGTAAGGCATGCGAAGGGGCTGGGGGAGAGGCCAGGAATGCCTCTGGCTGCAAGCAGACAGCCCATGGGGCCCAGGGCATTGGGTGTAGCATGAAGACCAAGGCCCCGGCTATCAGTCACACCACAGGTGCCCCATAAATGGTGGCTGCTGCTCTCGTCATTATCACCTCCCTTCTCCTCTTTCCCCTGTGGATAGCAGGCGGGAGTGTGGGGGTTGCAAGGTTGGTGCACATGATCACCCCCCATTTCTTTTGTATTTCTTTTATTTTTTATTTTTGGTAAAATTCACAAAATTCTTCATTTTAACCACATTGGACTTACAATTCAGTGGCATTTGGTCCATTCACAGTGTGGTGTAACCATCACCACTGTGTAGTTCTGGAATATTTCTATCATCCCCAAAGCTGACCCTATCCCCATCAAGCCATCGGTCCCCCTGTCCCTTCCTGTTTCTCACATCAAGCATTTGTCTCCCCCAGACTGTTTGGCCAAGGTTTGGTGTCAGAATGTGACTATGAGCGCTGGCACAAGCAACGCAGGGTCATGGACTTAGCCTTCAGCCGCAGGTGAGTGTATCCAAGAAGGCGGGTCTTGGGAAAAGATAGGTCTTCACCGGAGGGGGCCTCGCCCAGGCTGAAGGTAGAGGGGAGAGCCAGGCAGGCTGCTGGGGAGACAAGGGGCTAGCCATCAAGGGCTGAGTAACACTGATGCCTGGGGATGGGGTCTTTTTCCCCCCAAGAACTTCCCTGCTCAGACCTCATCACTCCTCCTCTGGCTTTTTATTTTCCTTATTAGCGTTCTCATTGGTAGTAACATTTTATTTTTTAATAACTTTTTATTTATTTATTTATTTATTTATTTATTTATTTTTGAGAGAGAGAGAGAGAGAGAGAGAGTATGATATGAGTGGGGGAGGGGCAGAGAGTGAGGGAGACAGAGGATCTGAAGTGGGCTCCCCGCTGACACAGCCCCCATATGGGTCTCAAACTCACAAACTGCAGGATCGTGACCTGAACCAAAATCAGATGTTCAACTGACTGAGCCACACAGGTGCCCCTAAATAACTTTTATTGAGATGGGGTTTTTATAACATATATTTTCCCTACTTATCCACAAAATGGAACAACCATCACCACAGTCAAATTTAGCACATGTTCATCACCCCAAAAAGCAGGCACTCCCCATTTCCCCTCAATGGGCTCAGCCCTGGGCAACCATTAATTTATTTTTCATTTCTATGGATTTTCGTATTCCAGACATTTCTTGTAAATGGACTCATACGACATTTCTTTTGTGTCTGGCTTCTCTCACTCAGAGAGAAGGTTTTCAAGGTTCATCCATGCTAAAGCCTCTTTCAGAACTTCACTTTTTAAATTGCCAAATGAAATTCCATTATATGGACATACCACATTTTGCTTGTCTATTCATCAGTTGGTAGACATTTGCGATGTTTCCAATCTTGGCTGTTTCAAATAATGCTGCCATGAACATTTGTGTACAAGCTTTTGTGTAGGTGTATGTTTTCACTTCTCTTGAGTGTGTACATACCTAGGGATGGGATTGCCAGGTCATAGGGGAACTCTGTGCTTAACATTTTGAGGAAGGTTATCTTTTAGTTGGATATAATTTCAAATTTACAGAAAAATTTCCAGAACAGTCTAAGCTACTTCTATATATCTTTTACCCAGTTTCGCTTATTGTTTATTGTTTAAATCACCATTTGTTTTATCATTTCTTCTGGATGTGCATATATAAACATATTTATCATTCTTTGTGTGTGTGTGTGTGTATATTTACAATTTTTTAATATAGTGTACTTTTAAAACTATTTGAGAGCAAGTTAGAGACATTGTGATCCCTTCCCTTAAATACTTATTTCCTAAAAACGTGGACATTATTTTGGATGTCAGTTATCAAAATGAGGAGATTTAACATTAATCCAATACAGTTATCTAATCTACAATCCGCATTCGAGTCTTGTCATTGTCCTTGTCATTATAGCTATTTTTTTCCTTGTCTGAGGTCCAACCCCGGATCACAGGTTACACTTAGTTCCCACATCTCATAAGCCTCCTTTGTTCTGGAACAGATCTTTGTCTTTCCCTGACTTCCCTGATTTTAAGATTACAGGCCAGTTTTGTAGAACGTCCATCAATTTTCTGTGTCTCAGGTTATGCCTTTTTGGCAGGAATGGCACAGAACTGGTGTTGTGTCCTCAGGGCATCATATTAGGAGACCTGCGTTGTTGACCTGCCTCATTGCAGGAGATGTTAACTTCACTCACTTGTCAGAGACAGCGTCCTCCAGGTTTTTCCACCATTAAGTTACTAGTTAGTGCATAATCTGTGGTTGACTATATCTGACTATATATACATAATCACATAGACTTTCATCACAACCTCCCTGGCCTCCCTACCTCCTCCAATGCATCCACCTCACCACCCCTGGGGAGATCTTGCTAAAATTCACATCACTTTCCTATCCTGAAGCCTTCAAAGGCTCCCTATCACATGAAAGATGAAGGTCAGATTTCACCCACCCCCAGTCTGGCCTCCAGACCCCTCCAGCCTTTGTACCCTCTTTCCTCCATCTTTTGGGACATCTGGGCTCTTTCTGGCATCTCTGCCTATGTCCTTGCCTTTCTCTCTGCCTTGTGTGCTCCCCTGCAAAATTCCTGTGACTCCTTTGATACCCAGCTAAGATGTCACTGTTAGGGAGCCGTGGTCCCTGATCCTCTGAGGCTGAGTTTATGCCTCCAGCATGGCTCCTGTCACACCCACTGCAATGATTCTCATTCAGCCCACCTTCGCCACCAGACTGTGGGCAGAAGGCAGAAGACGCACCCTGTCCCTGGACTCCTGCGCTCAGCACAGCACCTGGCCCTTTGTGAACTCTCCGGGAAGTCCATAGCGTGAATGAAAATATGAGTGAAATAATGAATTGGGATAGTCTTGTCCTCACTGGAAAGTTGCCAGGAGTGAGAATGAGGAGGAACAGACTAGAAAGAGGCCTTCAATTAATACATCCTTGTGCCAAGAGCCAGGGTTACAAGAGCCAGCCAAGGTGATATAGCTGCTGCCCGCAGGAAGCTTTGAGGCTATAGATTCTAACCAGCTGACTTCCTGCAGTGGTCATGACATTAATACCAGCATCTCTGTCTTGGTGAACCATCCCCAGCACGTAGGACCTCACGTTCGAACAGCACTTTGTGTTTTATTAAGAGCTTTCATAGGCGTTTTTATTTAAAAATTTTTAAATTGTGTTAAGATACACATACCGTCTGGCTCATTTTTATGTGCACAGTCCATGGCATCAAGTATGTTCACGCTGTTGGGCTGATGTCACCACACAATTTTATTTGTGTCTCACAATAAGGTAATCATCTAAGAGATGGCTGTTTTATTAGAAAGGCAATGTTCACAAAGTTGTATGAAGAAGCTCTGGGAGCCCGCTTGGTTGTGTTTGTGAACGTGGTAGAGTTCTTGGTGAATCCGCCTTCACTGGTGAGAAAATAGAACCCTCTGGTGAGTGTCCTCTCCAGTCATTATCTACGCAGAACATCATCATATACTCTTAATAAAATCATGACCATAAATTGCCAGTTTCTGCTTTTCTAGATTACTACTTTTACTGGAAGGCCTTGGTCTCAACCATTTCAATAAAAACAAAACAAAACAGGGGCGCCTGGGTGGCGCAGTCGGTTAAGCGTCCGACTTCAGCCAGGTCACGATCTCGCGGTCCGTGAGTTCGAGCCCCGCGTCAGGCTCTGGGCTGATGGCTCGGAGCCTGGAGCCTGTTTCCGATTCTGTGTCTCCCTCTCTCTCTGCCCCTCCCCCGTTCATGCTCTGTCTCTCTCTGTCCCAAAAATAAATAAACGTTGAAAAAAAAATTAAAACAAAAAAAAACAAAAAACAAACAAAACAAGGGGGTTGGGATTTTACCATACTACAAACACTCCAGCCCAACATTTTATATCTGTCACGTCCACAAGAGATTCAGTGGTAGTGTGACAGTCAGCCATGCGCCACCCAAACAGTCAACCTTTTCAAAAAAGACAACTACAAATAATCTCACGTATAAATATATACTTGCAAAACCATGTAAATGTCCTGGAGAAGTCGACTAGCTACGGAAGCATGTATAGGGGCTACTTGAGGCTTTAAGAGACATTTTCCTGGGAAAGTGGCTTTCGGGTATCCATCTGGAGAGCGGGCAGGTGTGTGAGTAGTAACAGGGCCTAGGGATGGAGGGTGGGAGGACAGAGACCCCCAGCCAGAGGGGACAGCATGTGCAAAGACCCTGAGGTGGGAAGGATCGTTGTGCTGCGGAGGCACTAAAAGGCCATGGTAACAGGAGACAGAGCTGCAGGTGGGCATCAACGTGACAAACTCCCTCTGTGTCCACGTAAGGATGTTCCCCACACTGTTCAGAGTGACAGGTGCCTTGGAGTGTTTTCGGTTGGCAAGGGACTGGAGCAGAGTGGTGCCTTCAGTAGAGGCCGCCGAGGGTGAACCCTGCAGGTGGCTGGGTGGGGGCTGGGCAGCAGTGAGCAAGAATGCTGGGGCCCCACGGAGCCGGGAGCCAGGGCAGGACCGGTGGACGGGTAATGAAGAGCGAATTTCTTTCCTGATTAAAAATTCCCCTTCCTCCCATTTTCTCTAAGAACCTCTTATTTGGAAACCATTTCAAATTTCTGAATAAGTTTCAAGAATAAGAATAGGACAAAGAGGGGCGTCTGGGTGGCTCCGTCAGTTAAGCATCTGACTCTTGGTTTTGGCTCAGGTTATGATCTCGCGGTTCGTGAGATCGAGTCCCATGTCGGGCTCTGCGCTGACAGCACGGAGCCTGCTTGGAATTCTCTCTCTGCCCCTCCCCTGCTCAAGCTCGTGCTCTCTGTCTCAAAATAAATAAATAAACTTAAAAACAATTAAAAAAAGAAAGAGGCGCCTGGGTGGCTCAGTCGGTTGAGCGTCCAACTTCGGCTCAGGTCATGATCTCGCGGTCCGTGAGTTTGAGCCCCACGTCAGGCTCTGTGCTGACAGCTCAGAGCCTGGAGCCTGCTTCAGATTCTGTGTCTCCCTCTCTCTCTGACCCTCCCCCGTTCACGCTCTATCTCTCTCTGTCTCAAAAGTAAATAAACGTTAAAAAAAATTAAAAAAAAAAAAAAAGAAAGAATAAGAGAAATAACACCCCCTACCCTTTACCCAGATTGGTAACATCAAAAATCACTTCTGATTACAAAAGCAACAGGTTTTCTTAGTAAAAGTTCAGAAACACGTAATGCACCAAGAAACAACCTCCCTTCTCTCCCTTCCTCGGGGTCACCATCTCTTGTGAGTTTGGAGCGTGTCCTTCCATACTTCTCCCTAGGCTCTGTGTTCGGGTGACGAGCCGGGGTAGCTGTCCCCGGGCCAGGAGTGCTGTGAGTAGGGAGTTCTGGGTCCGAGGACTCATTTCCATGCAGAGTTGGGGGCTGTGATTGCTCAGGGACAGGGAATGAATGAAATGGGAAAGCAGGCTGCAGGTGGCGACCGGGACAGGGCAGGTAAGGAGAGTGGGCGGTGGGAGCAGAGGGGTCCATGGCTGGGACCCCAGTGAGCCCGTCCTGAGCTGCAGGGGGCGCCCAGAGGCCTCTCTTCCCTTCCCACCCTGTGTCGCCTGGAGTCCCTCCACTGCCACGATCAATGGAGGTCAGAGTTGAGGGGCCCCGTGGCAAACGACCCGTGGAATCATCCAGGCAAAGGCAAAGGGACAGCGTTCGTCCTGAGGGGGATGGCGAAGCCCCAGGGCTTGGTTTGATGACTGCAACCCCAACCTGGGAGCCAGGCCTCAAGGGACGGCCACCTCCACTCTGCCCACTGGTCCCCCCACATAGAGGGGCCGCGGGATGACTGGGCTGGTCCTGGAGGCCCCTGACAGCTGCGCTGTTTCCCCAGCTCCCTGGTCAGCTTGATGGAAACGTTCAACGAGAAGGCGGAGCAGCTGGTGGAGATTCTGGAGGCCAAGGCAGATGGGCAGACCCCGGTGTCCATGCAGGACATGCTGACCTGCACCACCATGGACATCCTGGCCAAGGTGACCGGAGCACGGCGGGCCCCGGGAGGGGGCGGTGCCACCCGGGGCCCACCACTGCTCCTCCCTCTGTCTTCCCTTTCCTTGCGCTCGCCCTCCCTCCTGCTCCCCCAGCATCGGCCCCTCTCTGGGTGGGGAGCCCCCTGTCTCCTCGAACATTCGAGACCACAGCAACGAATGCGCTCTCCAGACGCCGGACGCCGAAAGGTGTGGGGACCGGCCTGTGTCTGGTCAGTGGCAGGAGCAGGATTGGGTCTCAGGGCTGCCTGGCTCCCGGCTCGAAGCCTACCTCCCCCTCGGCGCCTGCCCTGGGTCTGGCTTGGCTCTGCACCTGGCAGGCTCAGTGGTGGCCCAGGGACCCCCAACACGGTTAGGCAGCCCTGGCGGCTGGAGTACAGGCACAGTGAGTCATTGTCGCTCTACAGCTCGCTGGGAGGCTGGGTGCAGAGGGGCCACCAAGGAAGGCTGCATTTCAGGGCAAATGCATTTGTCATGGAAGGAAGCCAAGGGTGGTGGGGTGGCTACTGTGTGCCCCGTAGTCGTCACCGCATCCCACGGGGTTGGAGTCGTCGTGGGTCAGGGCCCATGCCGCCTGCACATGAACCCTTGGTGCAGGGCCTGGGTCTCTAGCTGAACGGCCCCAGGCTCCATGCTGGGTCTTCCAGTCTTCCCCCCCCCCCCCAGGGATGACCTCGGCCCCCTCTCTCCCCCAGGCAGCTTTTGGGATGGAGACAGGCATGCTGCTGGGCGCCCAGAAGCCTCTGTCCCGGAAGGTGAAACTGATCCTGGAGGGCATCACTGCATCTCGAAACACTCTGGCGAAGGTAACATCTCCACACCCCCTCTGAGGACCAGCCACCATAGCTCTGTGCTAATTTGCCAGAGCACCCCCTCCAGGGACCTTTTTCCAGAATGGGTTTGGAGTTCCGGTGTGACCCAAGTGACTTCCGCATCAGTTAGGATCTGCGTAGATCGCCGCAAGGAGAGACTCAAACTCAAGGTGGTTTGAGTAAATCAGGAGTCCGTCTTTCTCTCACGTAAAATGACCCTGAGGCAGGCAATCCAGGATGGCTGCGATAGCGCCCCAATGTCAGATGTTTGTGGAATTTTCTAGCTTTCTGTTCCACTGTCCCCAGCACATCACCTCATTGTTATTAAGATGGCTGCGGCAGCTCCAGCCATCACTTCCTTGTTCCAGGCATGAAGGAGGGAGAAGAGAGAAAGGTGGTACTCGAATGGATTCCCAGACAGATGCCCAGGGCCCTTTCCTGTTCCCTGGGACTTCAGCCTCTGGGCTTGGAGCCCCCTGATGCCACCCCATCTTTTTCAGCAGTTGATTCCCTCTGGCCGTGGCTTCCTCCTTCCACGCGGTCCTAGCCACCTGCCCCCTTCAGGGGTCCCTTGTTACTTTCCGGTGCGATGTGGCTCTTTCAAGGCATCTTTCCCATCCTATCTAGGGATTTGGAGCAGGAAGGGGAAGTCGATGCTTAGGCTCAGCCTGCCACCTTGGTCTAGTCTCCTTGGCTGCTTTATCTTTTCTAGAATTTTCTCACAATCTTCCTGCCTCCCAGCTTGCCAGTGCTGCTGTGGGTCTCTAAAGTCGTTTCGGAGCTGGGGGAGCGGGAGAGGGAGACGCGCGTGCTTGGTTGGCGCCCCGAGCGGGAGCTCTCTCGCTCAGTTCATGCCAGGGAAGTGGAAGAAACTGCGAGAGATCCGGGAAAGCGTTCGCTTCCTGCGCCAGGTTGGCAAGGACTGGGTCCAGCGCCGCCGGGAGGCCCTGAAGCGGGGGGAGGACGTCCCCGCCGACATCCTCACACAGATCCTCAAAGGTTCGAGGGCGCCCGCGGGGACCTTGGGAGGGCCGGGCATCAGGGTGCCACCCGTCAGGGTGACTGATCACCCCTGACTCCAGGTCTGGCTTCTGGGGACAAGGGCGTTTGGTTCTCTGCTGAGCTATGGGGAAAAGGGGCGAGGGGCGCGAGTGTCACCCTGACACCCTCCTTGTCTTCCAGCTGAAGAGGGGGCCCAGGACGATGAGATCCTGCTGGACAACTTCGTCACCTTCTTCATTGCTGGTTGGTAGCTCCAGTGGCGACCGGGGGCTCAGGGCTTTGCAGAAACGGTGGGAACCAGGCGTCTCCCAAACTCTGACTCTGGGAGATTTCTCGGGCTGTCTGAGCAGCAAAGTTCTGCTGCAGAATGGAGGTAGAGGAACAGAAGGCCTCTCTCTGCTCAAGGAGGTCCAGGAGGCCCCCTCGGCGGCCGCTGACCTGGCAACGCAGCTGGCAACCGTGACAGGTCGTGACACTGCCTTTTGGGGCTCAGGAGAGGTTGACCGTGTGCACTCAAGGCTCCATCCCGCTCAGAATTTGTGGGGCAGAGGCCTTTATTAGACCAGCGCAAAAAGACACCCCAAGCAACTTCATTCCTTTGCTCGTGAGCTATTTCTTGAGCATCTTTCTTTATCTAGAAAACTCCTCCTTCGGCGATCCCTTGAGTGCCTCCTCCTCCTCCGGGAAGCCCTCAGTGATTGCCCAACTGCATCGGGCTCCCAGTTCGGAGCTCTGCATGGTGCCCAGAGCTCTTCTCTGCCCCCAGGACTCACAGGGTTACTCCACGGACTTATCTGTGGCGATTCTAGAAGGTTCATCTTCCTCACCGGGTTGCATGCTCGGTGTAAGCCAGGGGTTATGCCCTGCTCCCTGTGTGTTCCCGGGGTCCAGTGCAGCACGGATGCGTACAGAGTGGATGAAATGAGTGAACAAATGCACGAACGCTGGGCACAAAAGACAGAGGCGGGCGGACAAGACGAGGGACAGTTCATGGTCTGAGGGTGGAGGTGGACAGACAGAATGAATTGGGGATTTTGCTGGCCAGTGGATTTTCGGAGGCGGGTGCATGCACCCCTGCAAGATGAAAGAGGAGGAAGGCTGTCCTGAGCGGGGATTGGGGGTGGAAGAGGGCCCTCCCAGTGTGGAGCACTGTGGGCACAGATACCCCGGGAGCCCCAGAGCGATGTCCGAGTTGGAGCAGGACTTCAGGGCACTGTTCCCTGCACTTGCCAAAATGCTCGCTGAACGGACAATGGCTGGCCTCATCCTGCAAGCCAGGAACCCAGCTGTTCCTCCTGGGATGTGGCTTCTCCACAGGCCGGCTCTGTGGCCTGGGCCTCAGTTTCCTCATCTCTAAAATGGGGGCCTGGAGGCGCTCCCCAGACTTCCCTCCAGAGCTCCAATGAGGGTTTAATGATCTCCCTCTAACCTCACGGCCCACCCCCTCACCTTGCATCCAGACACCATGGGGCGCAGGTGCGGGACGGCAGGCAGCCTCACTTCCCAGCACCTACTTACTGAAAGGTGTAGGCCCTGCTCTTGAGCCCAGGAGGCCCCGGGCCCCTTGGCTGGCGGTGGGTGCCACCTGGTAAAACCACTTACCCCTTCAGAGGAAATGCACGTAACTCAGGTGGTCCCCTCCCGGGCCAGCCGGGGGGCTTGGACTTGACCGGATGCTGCCAGAACTCAGAAGTGGCCTTCCCGCTCCTGCACACCCCCCTGCCGTCTCAGGGGAAGCCACCCACTGCTCTATTCCTCGAAGCTACAAGTACAACCTCTCCAGGCCTCAAGGGTGGCGCCCACCGCCTGGGGACAACACCGGCTGTGGGCTGGACTTGAGCCCCAGGTCCTATCCTGTGGCCTAAGAGACTCGACTCTCAGCCTCAGTTTTGTCTTCTACAAAATGGGATGAATACCCCTCCAGGCCAGGCAAAGCTCAAGGATGGTTGAAGGAAGGAGCTTTTAGAGTGTGAAATCCGGATGCGTGTGGGCAAATGCTGTTTATTGGACGACACTGGCTGGCACAGGGGACGTGGACGGGGGCAGCCAGTCTCCTTCATCTCTGTATACCCGGCTCAGCTGCAGGGTGCAGAAGTGAGGGCCTGAACTGCCACCACGGGCTCAGGGACTCAGAGGCGGGTGGGCTGGGCCAGCAGCAGCCCCGCAGTCCCGTGTGGAGCCCCACTCTCCTTTCCCGCAGGCCACGAGACCTCTGCCAATCATCTGGCATTCACGGTGATGGAGCTGTCTCGCCAGCCTGAGATCTTGGCAAGGTATGGAGCGGGGAGGCTCGGGGGGTGGGGATAGTGACTCCCCTTGAAGCTGGTGAAGGGATTGTCTGATGTCTTGTTCCTGGAAGACAACCTGCTCCGGCCCCCCACGGCCGAGCCTCCTCCAATGTGTCCTGCTTCTCTTCACCCCAGGCCCTTTGCACATGCCAGTCCCTCTTCCGGACGCTCCTCTCCCTGCTTTTCTCCTGGAGAACTCTGTCCACACCCGCAGAAGCCTTCTCATGCCCCTAAAGTAGCCATTCTGCGTTTTCCCCTCCCAGGCTCCTCCCAGCTCGTGAATGCATTTCCTCCTGGGACCATTTGCTTGGAGTCTATTTTGGTCATGAAACTAGAAGCGAGGGACCGTGGTTCTTTTTCCCTCCCCATGCTGCGTTCAGCGCCTGGCCGGCACTGAGGACCCAGCAGAAGTCCAACTAAGTGCTGTAGGAGGGCTTGTCCTCAGCTGGCAAGACAGAGGAGGGGTGCCTGGGAAATGGCATTTGAGCTGGGCCACTGGTTTCCTTGAAGACAAACAGTGAAAGCACTCGAAAAGCCCCAACAAGCATGGGGGTGGGAGCTCGGGATGGGGGGCGAGCCTTGATTACCCTTCTTAATCAGCAGCACACAAGGGCGGAGGTGAACGGTCGCTTCAGAATATAAAATAGTTGATTGGGGTTTTAAATACATATATTACAGTAAGGTGGTCATTACAAAAGTTTGGAAAAAGCCAAAACGTTGAAATAATAATAATAATAATAATATAGTAATAATTCCACCACAGAGCCCCACCCCCGGGAGGCAGTTCACGATCAACTACTGAATTTCACCGCGTATTTTATCACATCACCTCTTCTCCCAGTCCACTCTTTTTTTTATATTGTCGACACACACACACACACACACACACACACACAAAACTTGCCATTTTGACCATTTTTTAAAAACATTTTTGCCTGATGACCCCAATAATTTTTTGTAAGGTCATGTGTCCCCTCACCTTTTATCTTATTTTTTAACAAAGTTTATTTATTTATTTTGAGAGAGAGAGGGAGGAGCAGAGAGAAGGAGGGAGAATCTCAAGTAGGTTCCGCATGGTCAGCACAGAGCCCAACGCGGGGCTCGATCTGACGGTTCGTGAGATCATGACGTGAGCCGAAATCAAGAGTCAGACGCTGAACCGACTGAGTCACCCAGGCGCCCCTATTCTGATCATTTAAGAAATTATTTTTATTGTTTATTTTTGAAAGAGATTGCAAGTAGGAAGGGGCAGAGAGAGAGGGAGACAGATCCGAAGCAGGCTCCAGGCCGTGAGCTGTCCGCACGGATCCCGACGCGGGGCTCGAGCTCACAAACCGTGAGATCACAACCTGAGCCGAAGTCGGACGCTGAACCGACTGAGCCACCCGGGCATCTCTCTTCTGGCCATTTTTAAGCGCACAGTTCGGTGGCGTCACGGTGCTCTGCAGTCATCGCCACCCCCATCCCAGAACCTTCCATCACTGCCAACTGAAACTGTCCCCGTGAAACACCAGCCCCCCACCCCTGGGGACACCCCCCCTGCCGCCCCCGCCATACTCCTCTCTGTCTCTCCGGATTTAACTCCTCGAGGGACCTCAGGTAATTGGAATCATTCGGTAATTGACCTTTCCGTCTGACTTGTGTCACTTAGCATAATGTCTCCAAGGTTCATCCAGCAGGTGTCAGAACTTCCTTCCTTTTTAAGGCTGAATAGCGGTCCATTGTCCGGATGCCCCACGTTTTGTTCCCCGATGCGGCTGTTGAGGGTCGCTCGGGTGGCTTCCACCCTTTGACTCCTGTGAATAACGCTGCCACGAGCTTGGGTGTGCAAGTATCTGTGAGAACTTGGGTGTGCGAGTATCTGTGGGAGCCTGCTTTCGCTGTGGTGGCTTATAGACCTCCAGAGAAATTGCTGGAGCGCATGCTAATTCCCCATTTCGGTTTCTGCACACCGTTTTACATTGCCACCAAGGGGACACGAGGGCGATGCTTTCTGCACATCCTTGCCAACACCTGTGACTTTCCGCCTCTGGATTACAGCCTTCCGAACGGGCGTGAAGTGGTCCGAATCCACTCTCGGGCCTGCGTCCGAGCCTCACCGCGCACATCGTAAGGCTCGCTCGGCCGGCGTCCCCGCGAGGCTTATTCTGTTTCCGGCTGTCGGCTGCCGTGAACCAGGCTGCGATGCACTTCTCTGTGCAAAGACCTTGTTCTGTGCATTTATTGCCTGCGGCCGGTTCCGAGCGGCGAACAGGGAGGGGGGAGACTGTAAGGCCCTGGAACAGAATTCCCAACTGCTTGGGCATCTTGCTTTGGACGTGATGGTTCCTGGATGTCTTCAACGATGAAGCCGGGGGCCGTGGGAGGAGGGTTGGGGGGGAGGGGAGCTCCGGGCCCCTCTCTTCGCGCTTCCTTCCCCTCCTCCTTCTAAAGACTAATAGGGGGCAGTCGCTCCGTGGGGACGAGCTTGTCTTTGTCTGACCCGACAGGCTGCAGGCCGAGGTGGACGAGGTCATCGGTTCTAAGAGGCACCTTGACTGTGACGACCTGGGGAGGCTGCAGTATCTGTCCCAGGTGTGGGGGCAGGAGAGAAGCTTCTGGGCACGTGTGGGTGGTTCGTCAAGCCAGGCCTGCTGCCCCCCTGAACCATTTCCCGTGGGTGTTCTCTAACTTCACCGCCCGTGAGAACGTCCCTGCAGACTGAAAATCATTCCCGTGAGCACCTGCCCCAGACCAATGACATCAGAGTCGCTGGGGCGGGACCGGGCTCTGGTGCTGTAGTTCGGCCAGAGCCCGGAACCTCCTTCTCCTTTGGGGCCTCAGTTCCTCCTTCCGCGACAGCAGGGGTTGGACAAGAACCTGAGGCTAACTTTGCAGGGGGTCTGGGACCCAGTCCTGGACGTGGGTGCGCAGTCAGCACTGCGAGCGGGAGCAAGGGTGGGTCTGGGGCACGCCGCCGGCACGTTCTGTGGGGTCTCTGACGTCGCTCCTTGTCTCCCCACGTGGCTCCTGTAGGTTCTCAAAGAGTCGCTGAGGCTGTACCCGCCAGCGTGGGGCACCTTTCGCCTGCTGGAGGAGGAGACCTTGATCGACGGGGTCCGAGTCCCCGGCAACACCCCGCTCCTGGTGCGTACGGGCCCTCTCTGCCCTCCTCCGGGGTGGCCAAGCCCTGAGGTCGGGACATCCGTGGCCCCGTTGTCGCCACTGGGATCTGTCATGAGCTTCACCGTAACCGCGTGAGGACTTTCTTCCTTTTCACCCTGTCCAGTGTGAGGTTACAGCAGGCGATTCTGGAAGGGAGGCGCCCTGTGTACATCTGAGGGTGCTGAGGCTCAGAGAGGTTGGGTCACTTTCCTGAGGTCACACAGCCGGCAGGCAGTGCCCCGTTTCACAGCTGACCCCTCTCCCGCCTCCCCCCACGGAGGGTGACTATTCTCCCCCGCCTCTCCTTTACTGGCCGTTTACACGCTCACTCATTTGTTCCCTCATCAGGTGTCCCTTCATGCACCATGACCTCTCAGAAACCCACCCCCAAACTAGAACTGTGTCACTATCCTGCTTCCCTATGGAAGCAACCACTGTCCTGAATTTTGTGCTTACTAACCTCTCGCCTTTCCGTGTGTGTGTGTGTGTGTGTGTGTGTGTGTGGACACGTGTCCATCCACACGATAATATGTCCTGGGATTGCTTTGGGACGGCGGGCCCTCACTTCTCTGCCGTGTGTAGACTGCCACCCCATTATCCATTCTGGGTCAGCAGGCATCTCTGGGGGCTGCCCGATTCCCTGCTCTCCCAAGCACCACGGCTGCCACTCCTGCCTGTGTGGCGGACGCACTGTGCACACGGTGGCACGAGGGCTGGGTTGTGGGGCATCTCAACGTTTGACTCGGTAAACTAGGGCCAAAGTGGTTTCCGGAACACCCATGCCAACCCAGACGCCCACTAGCTCTGTTCCTTATCCTCCCCAACGCCGACTGTGGTCTGGCTTCTTGGTTTTGCCAATCAAATAAGCGCAGGGAAGGTGTTTCCCTGTGGTCTTGATTTGCAGTTTCCTGGTTACTAGTGAGGCTTGCGGCGCTGTTATCAACGCTGTGCAGAGCTCTCTGTAAAAGTTCATTTAAACAAATTTTTTTTAATGTTTATCTATTTCTGAGAGAGACAGTGCAAGGGGGGGGGGGCAGAGAAATCGAGAGGGAGACATATAATCCAAAGCAGGCTCCAGGCTCCAAGCTGTCAGCACGGAGCCTGATGCGGGGCTCAAACTCATGAATCATGAGATCGTGACCTGAGCCGAAGTCGGACGCTTAACCGGCTGAGTCTCCCCGGTGCCCCCATCTCTGTAAAAATTCATATATTAATCCTTTGTCAGGTATGCGTGTTGCAAATGTCATCTTTAGACTTGTGGCCTCTCTTTGTTAAAGTGTTTTTCATGATCCAAAGTTCTTAATATTTCAGGGGTCTGTTCTCTTGTTTTGTCTTAGGGAACCCCACCCCCACCCCATCATGAGCTCAGCATAGTCACTTACATCATCTTCTGGCAATATCACAATTTTCTTTTTCAAGTTAAGTCCCTATCTACGTGGAACTGAATTTGTGTATAGCGTGAGGTAGGGATCTGTATTCGTTTTCTGGGGCTGCTATTACAAAGCACCACAGAAGGGGGCGCTTCGCAGTGGAAATGTACTGTCTCACAGTCCTGGAGGCTGGGAGTCCAAGATCAAGGTGTCTGCAAGGCTGATTTCTCCTGAGGCCCCTCTCCTTGGCTTGTAGATGGTCGCCTTCTTGCCTGTCCTCACAGGGTATCTCCTCTGTGTGCGTCTGTGTCCTAATCTCCTCTTCTCATAAGGACACCAGTCATCCTGGAGTAGGGTCCACCCCAATGACTTCATTATAACTTGCCACTTTTTAATTTTTTTTTAAATTAAAAAAATTTTTTTTTGAGAGAGAGAGACACACACACAGAGAATCTGAAGCAGACTCCAGGCTCTGAGCTGTCAGCACAGAGCCAGCCACAGGGCTCGACCTCATGAAACATGAGATCATGACCTGAGCCGAAGTCGGATGCTTAACCCACTGAGCCTTCCAGGTGCCCCGATTGTCGCTTTAAAGAGACTATCTCCAAATACAGTCACATTCTGTGGCTAAGACTTTAAGATAAGGATTTTAGAGGGACAAAATTCAGCCTTCCCCAAGACCTGAAATTTACTTTTACAGAGGAAAACATGTTCTGGTTCTATCTATTGGGCAGCCCTCTCCCCCCTCGAAGCCCTGGCTTTCCCAGGGCTCGGCCATGCCTTCTCCAGCACGTATCAAAGCTTCATGATGTGTGGGTCTTTATTCTGTGTATCTGCTCTTTTTTTTTTTTTTTTTTCTAACACCCCAGCACCAATACCACCTGCCTGAATGACCCAGGTGGTGGTTTAGAATGCCTTTATATCTGGCTGAGCAGGCGGGTAGCCATGTGGGCCTTGAGTGGGCAGATCCCAGCTCCAATCCCACCCCGCTCTGGCAGGCTGGCTCACCTCTGGGCCTCAGTGCCCTCCTCATAAGCTGGGGTGATGATACCTGAGTCACAGTTTACTGAGACGAGTTGAAGAACAATGGTCATCACATGTCTGGTAAATATCCCTGGCACACAGTAGGTGCCCTTTGCTGACCTCGGACACCTCTCCACCTTATTATGCTCCCACGGTTCCGGGCCCTTCCTCCGCTCTGGCTGCCCTATACTCTCAGCCCAGAGAACCAGCGGCAGAGTGGGCCCAGGGAACTCTTTGGTGCAGGAGTAATGAGACCGAGGTCGGCACCCAGGGCACCAGTTATAGGGGGCACGTATGGCCCACAGAGGCCAGGGTCACAGAACACTGCCCTCAGTCGGGAGGCAACTTGGCGCGTATCATAAGGCCAGTGGGGCCTGCAGCTCCTTTGCCTCCCCCCTCTTCCCCCCGCCCCAACCCCGCCGCAGAAACAACCTTGTGCTGAAAAGGAACTTTGAATGACAGCTTTTAGAGATCTTGAGGAAGATGCTCTCGAAGCAGACCTGAGTTTGAATCTGTTTTGCCACTTACTTGCCCAGTGACTTCAGGCAAGCCACGAACCTCTCTCTGAGCCTCAGCTTTCCCATCTGTAAAATACGGATAACTGTAGGCCCCCTGTAGCACGGGACCAAGCATAGGATGAGATACACACCCAGCTGGTCCTTGTTGGCACACTGGGCTGTCCCTTCCCTTGTCTTAGACACTTGCCAGGAGCCAGGGGAATCCCACACTGGCCCGGATGGGTGGGTGGAGTAGAGGGGGGCCACTCTGCTCCTGGTGGCCCCGTTGGGTGACCACAGTGGATCCGGGAGGTGTGAGGGTGCCTATCCTTGGAACCAGAGACAAGCAGTTCCTCCCCCTGCAGTTCAGCACCTACGTCATGGGGCGTATGGACACATACTTTGAGGACCCACTGACTTTCAACCCCGATCGCTTCAGCCCCAAAGCACCGAAGTAAGTCCCTCTTCAAGCTGTGTGCGAGTGGAGGCCTGGTGGGAGAAGGATGGTCCCAGTGACCTGCGGGCTGGACCGCCTATGACCCCTGAGCCCACATGGCCTTCCAGATCACTGTGAGGAAGTTGCCATCCCCACTCCGCCCCCTTTTGTGGGGAGGAAATCACAGCTCAGAGAGGTAAGGTAACTTGCCCAAAGATGCACAGTCGGTAGCTGCAGAGCTGGGGTCGGAGCCCAGCTCGGACTGGTTTTAACACCCAGACTTATAACCAGTCCCTTATATTGGGAAGCTCTGGGACTCAGGCCAGGGGCTGCACCTCCCCCTGCCTTGATGGTCCTGAGAAATGGGAACACTGATGGCTCCCCCTGAAGGCTGCGTTGGGGGCAAATGCCTTAAACTACAGTGGGACTGGCCGGGGGGGGGGGGGGGAGCCAGGCCCCAGGGACCGACCACCTGCATCCAGACCCAGCCTCTGCCCAGAACTGGACGTGTGTGGCCAGGCCAAATATAGAAAGTGGCAGAGAAGCCGGGAGTGGGGGGGGTGGGGGTGAAATTCAGGGGTGGGGTGTTGCTTTGGCTCTCCGAGCCCCAGTCCCTCCAGCTGTGAACTGGGGATAATAACAGCTCCTTCTGGAAAGCGCCAGAGGAGGATAAAATGACAAAACGCTGACGCAGAGCGACAGAGCCAGCCCTGGATGTGTTCAGTGGGTGCAAGCAGTCGTGGCCTGCGCCGCGCATCCTGAGGACACGGGTTCTCTGCCAGGCCAGAGGCTGTCACGGAATACCTCCTCCCCTGACAGCCCTCTCCCCGCAGGCCGAGGTTCACCTACTTCCCCTTCTCTCTGGGCCCCCGCTCCTGCATCCGGACAGCAGTTTTGCTCAGGTAGAGGCAGGGGCTGGAGTGGTCTCACCCGGGGCCGGGAGGCCTGGCAGAGGCAACTCGGGGACAGGGAAGGAGGCACTCAGAGGGTGGGGAGGCCGGGCCAGCAGGCCCCACCCACCGGCTGCTCCCGGCCGCCTGCCTCCGCCCCTCCCCCACCCCTCTGCGTGGAGTGAAGTGGTCATGTGTAAGCTGCTGCAGGAAGTAGGTTCCCGGCTGGTGCCTGGACAGCGATACGGGCTGCAGGGAGCAGGCCACGCTCAAGCCGCTCGACCCTGTGCTGTGCACTCTCGGCCCCAGGCTGTGCAGCCACGCACCCCCCCCCAGCCCTGCTGGCGGGGCCTGGGGTGGATGGGACTCCTCCCTCAGACCGCACCCACACTCCCTCTGCAACCCGCTGCCATCCACCCTGTTCTCCTGTCCCCTTCCTCAGGGGAACCTCCATGCTGGCTCCCCAGCAGATCCCCTGCCAATCACCACCTGCTTTCCTCCTCCCCCTCCCCTCCTTCCCTTAAGCTCCCCAGGTGCTAACTCCGCCCTTCCTGGACCGCCCCGCCGCCCTGAATCTAGCTTCCAGCTGCGCCCCAGATGTGCTTTATCTCTTGCCTTACCTCCTGCAGGCCCTCCCCTGCCACACCCTAACTCTTGCTCACTTCCACAAACCCTCTTCCGGGTGTCACCTCTTCCAGGAAGCCTCCTGCCACCCCGGCGGGGTATGGGGGGCCCTGTCTGTGCTCCCTTGGTCACCTGTGCTGCCTCTTACCACACTGACCACACTGTATTGTGAGTGTCCTTTGAGTGTGACCAGCTGCCCTGCCGGGCTGTGAGTGCCTGTGGGCCCGGATCTGTGTATGATTAGATCTCAGAGGCAGCCTGGCCTGGCGCAGGCGTCTCAAATAAGCAATGTGTTGTGACTGCATGAATGAATGGCGGACCGGGCAGAAGCTCTGGCCTCAGTTTGCTCATCTGTAAATGAGAGCAACCATCGAGGCTGGTCTAAGAACTAGTGCAGCTCGAGGAAGCTTCCCTTGAAGGTGCCAGATGGTGCGTCTGGAAGAGCATGGGTTACCAGGAGGAGGCTCTGTTGATAGAAGCCAGTTCCCTGTGTTGTAATGCAAGGCCATGTTCCTGGGTGTGGTGTGAGGTTGGGATTACAGGCGGGGTTTTGAGAGAGCTCGATCTGACAGGGTGGGGGCCTGGGGCCCCTATTGGTCTAGTCTACTCCCAACAGGGTGCTGCCCAGGGCCCCAGAGGGCTCACAGGCCTTGAAACCCCAGGACCTCTCTTGGGGACCACTTTGGTGGACCTGGACCGGCCTCACCCTGCTGGCTTCTCTGCCTTCTGGCACCTGATGGCCTCCCGACCTGGTCGGGAGGCCTGTGGGCCCAGCCCCGGGAGTGAGACTGGGGAACCCGACGGTGGCAGGTGGGTGAAAGGTGCCCTTCTTTCTCCCACCGGGGCCTGGGGAGGTGACCCAGGGCAATAGGTGCCTGGGCCAGCCATGTCCTCTGGGCCCATCCGAGGAAAAGGACCCTCTGAGTTTCTCCCTCAGTACTTGGGAGCCTGTCTTCCTGCAGAAAACAACACTATGCCCTTACCCAACATGGGCAAATGCCCTGGAAAGGTCAGCTCTCCATGGCAGGAGAATGGAATGAGTTGGGCCAGCCCTCGCTTTGCCTGGCTCCTCCTCAGTCCTGAGAGCAGTCTGCTGAGGACCTTCACGTTAGCAGAAGAAGGAAGCTGAGGCTCAGGGAGAAGTGACAGCAGGCTCAGGGAGGTGAGGTCCTACTGAGGCAGGTGCCTCCTCCCCAGCCCAGGCCAGGTCAGGGAACTGGCGTCTGCCTGCGGTCTGTCCTGAGCCTCTGGGCAGAGCGCCCAGCCTCCAGGATCTCTGTGGCCCGCAGGTTCCTTGGGGGTGAGTCCGCTCCCCTAGCTCTGCAAACCGAGCACTGGGTGGGGGCCTCGATCGAACACACTCCCACCTCCTCCCCTTTCCAATCCCATGTGGGCGGGGGAGGGCTCAAAATGTCCCGTGGCTCTCAGAACAGCGAGTGTGCCTGAACCTGCCTCAGCTGTGTGTGAAACCAGCCCTTGATGGTCTCTGCCCAGCTCCCTCCACAGCTAAGAGTGCCCGGCACCCAGACCTCGTCGGGCCTTCAGCCTTGTACTGCTCCCAGGGACCTGCCTGCCTGGACCACTACCCCACCCTCTGCAGCTTCTCTTTGGGCTCACCAGCCCCCTGGGCTCTCCAATGGCCCCACAGCAGCCCACAGCCCCTAGGCACCCCCACCGGCCCCCCAGTCACCAGCACTACTCATGCCCTGCCATAGGTGGCTGGGCCTGGCCCCACAGGACAGAGACACTCCTCCATCCTAAAGGCCCACAGGCTACCAAAGACAACATTCAGGGCATGACTGGCGTGCCTGGAGGTCTGGAGGTCAGCTCCTCTGAAACTTCCAGTAGCAGCTACACCGCCATCTGACTTAGCGGCTACTTATCCACTGCTATTGAGTCTTCACATAGTCATCAGCTTCAAATCCTCTTGAGTATGGCCCATTTCACAGATGAGAAAGTCGAAAGTCACGACACACAGCAGGGCCATGGTGGAGTCCAGGTCAAACCCCACAACTTCCACCTGCTCAACAAGCCCTGTCTTAAGCTGGGCTGACCTCCCGAGCACTGAAGCAGGGCGGGCAGGCCTGGTGAGTGGGAAGAGCCTGGACCCCCAGCTCTGCTCTGCTGTTGCCTGTGGAGTTGAATGTGTATCCTGACCTTCTGAGCCACTTCCTCCTCCATAAAATGGGCTTTTCATGAGAGAAAGGTGGCTCTCAGGCCTGGCTGTGAATGAGTCACCCAGGCCATCTCTCTGCCTATGGGTTGGGACCCCAAACTTCTCTTCGTCCCCTGGAGAGAAGACTCCAGTGTGCACAGGGATGGTGTCAGCCTGGACTCAGGCAAATGGGTCAGGTGAGTGAAGCCCCTGCAGCCAGACCTCCTCGCTGGGGTCAGTCCCTACCTGACCTGTCACTGTTGAAGGGGGGGGGGGGGGCTTGGGCCTCCAATTTCCCCATCTGTGGGGAAGGACAATGGGACCCACATCCCTAGATTGATGGGAGGAATTAAGAGCATTCTGTATAGATCGTACTTAGCATAGAGCCTGTATCGCGACCGTGTTCAGACCCGCCCGCAGTTGTCGCGGCGTCGGAATCTTGATCTGTGGTAACCTCTAGGAAGAAAGAGCTTTCCTGGGAGGCCGGGCAGTGCAGTTCCCAGAAGAGGCCACACGGTGGCGCCCGGCGCAACGCTCCGGCAGGCGCGCACGCAGGTAGCCAGTGAGCGTGCCTGCCGCCCGGTCCTGCTGAGGGAACCGGGCCCGGAGGGGGGCCGCAGCGAGGCAAGCCCGGCCTCCTGGGGGGGGGGCGAGGTCGAGAGCCGGGAGGGGCGCAAACCCAGCGGGCCCAGGCGCTACAGTGGTTTGGGCCTCCTGAGCCTTCGAGTGGAGGGGGGCAGGTGGGCGTCGCCATCCCCGTGTCACAGGTGGGGCCACCGAGGCACGGCTTGAGCATTTTTGTTTCAGCCGGGCAGGGGGGGGACGTTAGGGGGGCTATCCCGCAGTGCCGCGATCGCTGGGTGGTTCCCCCTCACCTCTCCTGGCGGTGGGCTGAGTCTGCGGTGGGACGCTGGCCGGCTCGGAGGGGAGAACAGCCAGCTTTGGCAAAAGAAAAAGCCAGTGTGAGGGGGAAGCATAGGAGGACGGGCAGGGGTGCAGGGGGCTGCCTCCCGGGCTGGGAGGGCTGGGGGATGCCTCCTGACTCCTCAGGGCTGAGCTGCTGTAACACTGAACACGCTCTTGGCTGAACCGAAGCCACCTCCAGTGTCCTCTGCCCCGGGGCCCTGGAGGCTGGTGATGAGGGGTCCTCGGGGTGGCTTGTGGCCCAGCCTTCGCTGGGGGTCGGCCTTGGGAGCCTCGCGAACTTGGGCTGGGGGTGAGAAGCTGTCCCAGCTGTGGGAGGTGGGAGGTTTTCTTCTCTGCTCTGCGCCTGAGGACAGGAGTCTGGCTCTGGAGTCACCTAGTGACCCTGCTGGGCCTCAGGGGCAGCCGACGTGAGTGGGCGGAGGGCCACAATTAGCCACCCACCTGGGCAGGTTAATCGGGTGTGGTGTCCTTTATACTGGCCCAGGGTTTGGTAGGTCCAGCCCCGGTGGACCCCAGAAACAGTGTATGTGTGTATTTCCTGGGTGATCAGCGACAGGGAGGATGGCCACCTGGAGGGGGACCTCAGGGCAGGGGCAAGAGGGGGCTCAAGCCAGCGGCTCTTCCCACATTTCAGCCCCTCTGCAGGGATGTTGTTTTCCTCTGGGGCAAGAATCCCGCATCCTAAGCAGGCTTCCCGATGAGTGTGTGACGCAAAGGCGGTTCTCACCCCCCTGGGGTGGATGACCTAAATCCACATGTCTGCCCAGACCTCACCCCTGGGCTCCAGACAGCCTTGGGCATCTCTGTCTGCAAGTCTATAAATAGCCCTAGGGGGAGGGGGCAGACACTAGGGGTATTTCTGGCAAGTGGGGGAGACTTGCTACTGGAGGGCCATTTCTCTGAATCAGGGCTGGGTGGGTACAGATGGAGTGAAGGCCCTCCCTTGGCCTGGAGCTTTGGAAACATTTGTGCCTCCCAGAACACGTCCCCCTTGAACTTCCTCCTTGCTTAGGGAAACCTGTGGTCACCCTCTGGATGTTGCCTACCTTGGGTAGTCCCTGCCAGCGGGCCAGACCGAGGGCCAGCGAGGAAGAGTGGTCACCACCAGCGGGAGGCAGCCTGAGTAGCTAGGGGCGAGTCTGCAGGTCCCTGAGGGGGCACCCCAGAACCCCCTGCCTTAGGCAAGGCTCAACAGCAACCCCCACCCTGCCATGCCCAAGTCCCAGGCCTACCCTGGAAGAGGCTCCATGTGCCTCAAGACAGGCCAGGAGGGGCGTGGGGGGCACTGGGGCCTTCCGTGCAGGAGCCTGGCCCCCAAGGTGGGATGTGGAGGGTCCCTGGGTCAGTGCTGGGCAGGCAAGGGCAAGGGACGAGCCTCCCCTCCCTGCTCCCTCTGTCTGGGCCCAGCTTCTCTGCCGGTCTCAGTTTTGGGGGGCTGTGGGGGATGACGACAGCAACTCTGGTGGGGCTCTTCTAACCCCAGCCCACGGGGAGAGCCCTTATCCAAGCCCCTTGCGTGGCCTGGGACCCCAGGTGAGGAGGAGTCCAAGGTATTAGCCACAATGACACTGACGATGCCACCAGCTCACCACTGAGCGCCCACTGCAGTCGGCCCTGAGCCCACTGTACTGTAATCCCGGCCCCGAGGGGCGGGACCTCACTCTCCCTGGGGGCCTCCCCCCTGCTGTGAGCCCTGGAGCCTGAGGAGGAGGCCAGGGCATCCCCGGCAGCCCCACGCCTCACCCCAAGTGACAGTGGCTCCTCGGCCTCCACCCAGAAGTGAGGGTGTTGCTCAAAGGACCCAGGGGCTGCCCACGCCCTCACCCTAGGGACACCGAGTGCGTCTGGACGGGCCCCTGAGCTTCTCTCCTGGCTGGGAGGCTGGGAGGCTTATCCAAGGCCTCCCAGGTGGCCTTCAGCTTAGGGGGCCTGGGCGGGGTGGGAGCCGCTGGGTGTGGGAAAGCAGCTCCCAGAGATGCACGGGAGTGGTGCACACGGGTGCCCACTTGTGTCTCTCCCTCCATCGATCTCTGTGTTTCTGTGGTCTCTCTGTCACCGTGTATCCGTCTCTCCCGTGTGGGTCTCAGTGTCCACGTCTGTGTGTCTCAGGCTACATGTATTGGGGGCTGTGGGCTGTGTCCTGAGCTGTAAGGAAGTGTCTGTTTTCACCTCAGGCAGCGGACAGGCCTGGGAAGTATCGTGAGGCCTGTTGGTGCCAGGCCCTTGCAGCACAGCACAGCCTCGTCCTTCCCACGACCCCTGGGAGGCTAGATGGCCTGCCCAAGGTCACAGGCCCAGGAGGTGTGGTCCACCCAGTGTGGACATCCGCTGTCCTTCCTCGGGTCGTAGCCACCAAAGTCCCAGGGGAAGCTCCTTGTTCAAAAGTTTCCTCCCGGGACGCCTGGGGGGCTCAGTCGGCTGAGCCACCGACTTCGGCTCAGATCATGATCTCACAGTCCGTGGGTTCGAGCCCCGCGCTGGGCTCTGTGCTGACAGCTCAGAGCCTGGAGCCTGCTTCAGATTCTGTGTCTCCTCTGCTCTTCCCCTGCTCATGCTGTCTCTCTCTTTCAAAAATAAATAAACATTAGAAAAAAACTTTCCTCCCTCTGTTATGGGGGGGACCCAAGGCCCAGGAAGACCGGGTCTCCAGCAGGGAGGAGTTACTGGGGCTCCTGAGACCTAGCTGGTATCTGTGCAAATGGGGAGTGAACAGGTGCCAGCGGGCGGGGCGTGGGCCTCCTCCCTGGCCCCACCAGGCTGGGGAGCCGCTCCTGCCTTTGGTGGGGCCAGCCCTGAAGCTCCTTTCCTGGGGCACCCTCCTTTCAACAGCAGAGATGGCTGGCTGTGCAGTGTAGGGGCAGGTGGGGCGGGGGGTGTAAGGCAGGGCCTGAAAGGGGCCCCGCTCAGAGCTGGCCCCACTGATGCACAATAAATGTGCACCCCTCTTGCCCTGTTCCCCTTGAAGCAACCTGCACCCCTGCAGACTTCAGAGGCCCCACGAGCAGCCCGCCTGCGCCTCTCACCGGATCGCCCACCACTGTCCCTTCCCGCAGCGCCCCGACCACTTTGCCAGCCCTGTTTCTGCGCTGCACCTGACCCGCCTCCTGCCTGGGCTGCCGGCTCACCCTCCAGGCGTCTGTCTGCATGACACTGCTCAGAGGGGTCCCCCTTGACCCTCATGCTTGCCCTGGCCACCGTGGCCCGCCTTTCCTGCACTCCCCCGCCCCCCTTGAACCTGTGCTCACATCTCGCTCAGGCAGTTGAACAAAGAGACAGACACTTGCTGTGAGCCCCAGGGGCCGGCCAGCACCATGCCAGGGACACAGACAGCTGGCTTCGAGGTCAGAGATACAGGATGTGCTCTCAGGAGCCAGAGGGTACACCCACATGTGTACACAGCCCCCACAGGCACATACACGTTCTTACACACGTACACAAGCTCACGGGGGCACATGCGTGCCCCACGTGTTTACACTCCCCTGCACGTGCACATACGTGCTCACCCAGGAATACGTGCACACTCATCCACACTCCCCTACGCTCTTCCACACCCCACTACACACACGTACGTGCTCCCATGCACATAGGTGCACACACACACGCTCACTTGTACCAACCCACACCTGTGATGCGCTTGCACATTCTCACGTGCACACACTTTCCCCACACACGTACCCACCGCCATACACGCCTGTGTGCACCCATGTGCATTGTCACATGCGTTTGCACACGCACGCAGCGGCCCAGAGCTGCTGCAGGGACCTCGGAGCAGAGAAACCAAGTTGTTTTTTTCCCCCAACACGTGTTCCCACCATAGAAAACAACAGGAAGGTACTCGGGGCCGGGGACAGGAAGGGGAGGTGGCCTGCACACAGGAGGTCAGCTCTAGCGGCTGGACACTGGGAGGCCTGTTTGGGTGGGACCCCGGGGCGGACGCACTGATGGCTGCGGGGGTGGGGGGGTGGGCGGACGGCCCCTCCGAGGCTTCTGGGCCCTGGTGCTCAGCCTCTTCACAGTCTCCCATTTTGGGATGAGAAACCGAGGCGAGGATCAGCTTGTCCCAGTAGCCGAGGGGGGCTGGCAGAGTGGCATCCAACCCAGGCCCTGTGACACTGACAGGGTGCTCCTCCCGGCCCTGGTCCTGCAGTGCACCCGGCAGTGGCTGAGGTGAGGGGCTCTGTCTGGGGCGCCAGGTGGCTTGGGGTCGGGGGGGCTCTTGCTGCAGCACCGCTGTGTGTCCAGCACTGGGCACACCCGTGCCACCCTGGACCGCGCAACTGGCAGTCTCGAGGGGTGCCCTGAGGTGAGTTCACGTGTGCTTCTCTGTGGACCCAGCTCATCCCAGGGAGCCCAGAGCAGGTGCTGCAGGAGACAAGACCCGAGCGTGGCCCCATGGGACCGGGCACGCCTCGTGGGTTCCCCCTGCCCCCAGCCCGGCCCAGGGCCAAGTACATAGGAGGTGCTCGTAAATGCTCTGCTGATGTGGAAATAGAGGCACAGAGAGGGGCCAGGACCTGCGCAAGGCCACCCAGCAGAGCAGGTCTGACCCCGCCCGGGGTAGGGGGGGACAGCTGAGTGCTGAGTGGAGGGCTTGCAGGTGGGTTCCAGCGCCCCCCCCCCCCCCCCGGCCCCGCCCCTCCCTGGGGATGTCGCTGCCACCTGCGGAGATTTGGTGGCCCTGTCGCTGCTTCGTTATCTCCTATCTCCATCAGTCCTCAAACCCTGGCAGGTGAGACTCCTCCCACTTAGCAGGTGGGGAGGCCCTGAGGCCCTTTCCTCTCCTCCCCTCTCCTTGCTGACTTGCATCAGCTTCTTTTTTTTTTTTAATTTTTTTTTTTTCAACATTTATTTATTTTTGGGACAGAGAGGACAGAGCATGTGGTGAGCGGGGGAGGGGCAGGGAGAAGGGCTCGGAACAGGCTCAGGCTCGAATCAGCCCAGAGCCTGGCCAGCTCGAACTCACCAGTTCATGAATCGTGACCTGGCTGAAGTCAGGACTGGCTTAACAGGCCTAGCCACCCCAGGCGCTTCGCATCCAGCCTTCTTGCCCTGCCGCCCAGGCACAGGGCCGCTGCCTTTCCATTCCCAGAGAGCTCACCTGGAATCGAGTTAGGAGGGGGGAGGGAGGGAAATCCTGGGGAGGAAGGGGTGGGACTGTGAGGTTCCAGAGATAGTTCCTCTTGTTTTTTTTGTTTTGTTTTTTGTTTTTTTTTTTTGTCTTTTGTCACGTAAAAACCTCAGGAGGGACCCAGGATGGCCCCCAGTCCTGGTTTGCCTCTGATCGAGGGCTCCCAGGGTGCAGGTAGGACTTTCAGGGCTGAAGTAGGGAAACCAGCACAAGCTGGTCACCCTCGAGGGGCCCCCAAACCATTTAATCTAACCCCACAGTGAACTCCCTTCACTGTGTCCTCGTCCAGTGGCTGTCTAGCCCTGCTTACATCCCTCCAGTGACAGTGAGCTCACTATCAGACAGCAGGAGGTGGACAAAACCAGGGTCAGGCACTGGCCACAATGAGGTCTGTTTGTGGAGAACACAGGGGAGCCTGGCCCACCTTCAGGGACAGCCAGACAAGGCTTCACAGGGGAGGAGATGGGGGGAGGACAGGGAATTCCTGACCAAGGGAACAGCACAGGCAAAGGCCCGGAGGCCTGGAACCACCGTATAGGGATTGAATTCCTTTGCTATCACCTCTGACAGTTTGTGTGACTGCAGCTGTCCCCCACCCATCTCCAAAAGACAGTTCCTTCGGAAACATGGTGGCCTGGGCTCCCCTGTCTTCACTCCCCGGGTGTCTGAGCTGGGAAAGGCATCAGTGCCTTTGTTTGTTTGTTTCTTCTTCTTCTTCTTGAATGTTTTATTTTTGAGAGAAAGCAGAGTGGGGGAGGGGCAGAGAGAGGGGGACAGAGGATCCAAATGAAGGGCTCAAACTCAGGAACTATGAGGTCATGACCTGAGCCAAAGTCAGACGCTCAACCGACTGAGCCACCCAGGCGCCCCAAGGCCTCAGTGCCTTTGAAGAGCTGCTGGGCCTCTGAATGCTGTTTCCTGCCCCTCGCATCTTCTGGAGGCTCATGGACCCTTAAGCACAGTGTCTGCCCCCTCTTCCAAGAAGCCTCCCTTGACTTCCCTAGCCTTGGATGCCACCCCTTCCACAAATGTCAACCACCTGTCCTCGGGATCATCATCACCTCCAGCCCCTGCCGGGGACACCTGCCACCCTCCAGTCCCAGCTGAGCTTTCCTGGTGCTCTTCTATGCACCTGCTGGTCTCTATTCCCGGAATGCCCTCTCTTCCCCTGAAAAAACCTGCTTATTCCTCAGAGGCATAACTCAAATGCCAGATCTTCCAGGAAGCCCTCCCGTATCTCTCCGATTGGGGTCGATCACCACCCTCTCTCCTTCTCTTTAAGCCACTTTACTCCTTCTAGGCCCTGCGTGCAGAACTGGGTAGACCTGGAGCCCTGGGGGGCTCAGCGACGCCCAGCCCTGGCATGATGCCTCTGGGAACTGAGCCCAGAGCCTCCCACTTGCCTCCCTGCCCTGGTCTCTGGCCCAGGCCCTTGTGGGGACCCAAGAGAAGGACCACCCTGCCTCTTAGGCAAGCACACGGCAAGTGTACACTAAGTGTTTGTTGAGATGTGTTCTCCCAACCGGTATTTCCTGAGGACCCACTCTGTGCCCGACCCTGAGTCACATGGCTGCCCCCAGAGATCCATTTCTACCCCCCCCCAGAGCACCCCCAGCACACGTGGAGCAGCCGGCACCCCACAAGGTGCCCAAAAGTGGCTGCTCTTGGTCTGCCCAACGAAGGCAAGGGCCACGCCTTCCCGTAGCCTTGGAGACAGACAGTCGGGCTCCAGAGTCCAGCTCTGGTCACACCCCAAACTGGCCGGGTGGCCTTGGGTGGGTCGTGGCCGCTCCAGAGAGCTAAGACGACAACCACGGACTCAGTGGGGGCATCCCTCCGTCGTCTCCTCCATTGGCCGTAAAAGCCACTCACTGGCCGGGTGGAACCATTCCCAGGGAGAGGAGGCTGTGGGCGTTCTGGGGTCTCCAGGGCTGGGGCTGGGCTCTTGGGGACTGCCCGAGCACCCAGGGGTGCAGCAGCCTCGCAGGAAACATTCCGAGGCAGCCCGGGAGAGGCCCAGGGCAGGGGAGGGCAGTGCCCAGATTTATCCACCAATCCCGCGGGCTCCTGGCTCTGGAGCGAGTTCTTATCTGCCCAGCCCAGCATGGGGGGGCGGTGGGGGCAGCCGGGCCGGCTGGGGCGGGACGCTGCCTGGGGACTGGACGCAGAGCAGGCCCGGCAGCCCCAAGCCCCACCAGGTGGGTGACAGCCACTGACGGCTCTGAGCGTCCCCGCAGGCTGGTGGCCGGCTGCCCGCCCGTCTCCTGCACCATGTCGGACGGCGAGGGCCCCTCGGCCGGTGAGTGGCAGTGCTATATTTACCCACCGCGTCTCCGGTTGCAGAGCCAAAGCTCCTGGTCGCTGAGGGCACCGGGCGCCCCCACCCCAGGCTGCAGGCAGCTGTGGGGCTGGACCCCCTTCCTCCCAGCCTGATGCCTGATTGGGGGGGGGGGCGGGGGAGGGCCGTGCTCCTGGAAGGGGAACTGGACTTACAAAGCTAAGTTCTGCTGCACCCCCTGCCTTCCCGATGGGGCTAGAGCAGGGGGCTGTGGCCGCTGCAAACCCCTCCCGCCACCAGCGGGGGGTGCGGAGCTCACCCCCACAGTGCGGCAGGGTCTGGACTGGGCTCCTCAGTGGGCTCAGGGTGCCATGGGCCCCCACGACCGCATGCAAACGAGTGTGTGTGAACACTGATCCGGGGTGGGGGAGCCTACAGCTGCCATCTGATTCCCCAAAGGTCTGAGACCTCCAGGAAGTTCTGAGCCCCCGGCCTGCCTGCACAAGGCAGGCTCCCCCGCGGGTCCCCAAATCCTCTAGGTTGGAAACGGCCAGGGACGCAAAGGCAGAGGGGTGCTCGGATACTGGGGTCTGCTCACGTGCCCCTGCCCTCCCCGGGGCAAGGGGTCTGGTGGGGACTGGCTGCCTGTGCCCCTGCCTGGCCACCCTTGGCTCCTTCCGGTTGAAGACGAGCTCTGGGGTGGACATCTCTGAGGCTCAGAACCCGTAAGTGAAAAAAGGGACAGTGGTAATAGTTCCTCACCCACAGGTGGTTGGGAAGGTTCACTGTGCCGGCGGGTGAAAGCCTATCTGTTGGTGCCGGGTGTGCAGTGAGGACTTGGTGGTGGCTTCGTGGAAGCAGCAGGTGGAGGGTCCTGGGCAGGAGCCCAGAGGCTCAGGAGCCTGTGTATCCCGGTCTGGCCCCTCCAGCTGCGGCTTGTTGCCTAAGACACGGCACGGCAGTGGCCCGTGGATCCCTTATCTGCCAAGCACCTCCGTGGAGAATCCTGGGCACGTCTGGCTGTCCTGGGGTCCTGGGGTAGATTGTGAGTGACGGCAGTGTGCCCCCTCCCCCCCCCCCC